ACTTCAGGGACGCAGGCCATCTTCCGCCTGCAGTGTCCCGGGCAGCCCCAGATGGCCCCCGAGGGGAGTCCGGGGAGTGTTCTGGACTCAAACTGCCACTGGGCACAGGGAGCAAGAGCCTGCGGAGACTGTGCCTCCTGGTCAGGTCTGGATTTGGGCTCTCGAAGTGGTGTCCCGCTCCCCGGGCGGGGGGCGGGGAAGAGCCTGCTGCCGCCTCTTGGAAAGCCCTTGCTGCGCCTTGACCTGCTCGCGCACTCACGTGGCAGCCACCGCGCCATTTCAAGCACCCTCTGGTAACAAAAAGTATTCAGTAATAGCCTTTTGCTGCAACTTTTTTCCTGATAATCCTTCCTCCTCTGAACTTTCTTCTTTCTTACTAGAGGTCCTGGGCTTCTGTCAACACATGCCCTAACTGTTCTTGGTTCCACTGGGGTGCCTCTTTCCCTTAGTAATTTACTTCTCACCCCTTCCATATTTTCATCATAAAGACAATACAATACACTGAGACAAAACAAGACACAAATATACTGTATCAATCTTTTCCATTTTTTCGAAATGGCCATTTTTCCTCTTGCCCTGTCTGCCTAGGGATGAGCAGATTTGCTCCCGTCCTATCTTTCTAGGGACAGGCAGTTTTTTTTTTTTCCGTCACTTACCCCCGAGTGTCCCGGGGCTCCCCATAACGGGCCACCATCTGCCGAAGTCTGGCTGCAGCAAAATAACGGAGGGGGTGGGGGGTGACGATCAATTTGTGTAGATTCATACAGCAGGAGAGGGAGCCCTTTATTGTAGGATAGGAGTGGTATTTATACATTCCACACAGCTTATCTTAATTAACATAAACTAGATACAGCAGTCAACCAATAAGGAATCTCCACACTTAATGGCTCCCTGGCTCCACCTCACAAACCACTCCCCCTGGCAAAATGCCAGGCGCCATCCCGACTTGTTTACAGACTCTAACAGGAGGTGACAGAGACAGTATGCAGTCTCTAGCATACTGACCAGAACTTCACCTAGGAAAGGTCTCCCCTAAAGGACAGCATATTTCCACGTCTACCACCAAATCAGTAAGAGGCACATTGTAGTGAAGGGTTAGAGTAGGCATTTTGTATTAATGGTAATGTATAAATTATGAGATACTATGTAAGATTTAGCATTCTATAAATCTTGCTTATAATCATATTAAGCCCAGACTTCAGTTTCTGGGAAGACTCTAGAGTCAACTCAAGGACAGAGACATCTTGAGCAGCATAAACACTTAAAGGACACAAAGACTGGTATGTCCTTTAGTGGGTCTTTGGATTTTGTTTGATTAGAATCTATCTCCCTTTCTCTCCATGAACAGCACCTCAATTTTCTTTTGGAAAACTACTGGTCTCCTACAGTTATAGTCTGCTTCCTTCTGTCTGAGAGGTAGGCACCTAAACCTAGCTCAGTTGATGAGATGCATTTCCCTAGAATTTGGATTTGGGGAGGAGTGACAAAAGTAGCAAAGAAGATATAGAGGCTGATTTATTAAGATGGTGGCTGCTTGTCCTTGATCCTCTGCTCTTCCCTGGCTGCTGACATGTAACTATTAAACTTTTGTTTTGGTTCAGTGATTTGTATAACAGTATTTCTTCTTATTATTATTATTAGTTGATGAATGTTGGTTTGGGTTGATTGCAAAGAACCCTAATAACAATTAAGGTTTTACAAATAGTACTCATGCTAGTCTAAATAACAATAATAATAATAACTATGAGTTGATTTCTGATCCAATAAACGAAAGGTGAGAGGGAATTTCATCAAAATAAAGGAAAGATCAGTAGAGTCAACGAAAGGGATTGAGGAGGAGGAAGAAGGGAATGAATCTGACTGACTTTTGAATGTAGATGCATGAATGTGGTGGGGTGGGTCCTGGCATCAGGTGTATCCTCAGGACCCTAATTAAAAATAATTTAAACTGTAAATGGATTAAAAAGGGATCAGTGGAGTGGAGGAATGGGAGTGGAGGTGGGAGAGGTGTGTGATGGTGACTGAATTGGAGCAGGTTGTGTTCCATGCTTTTGTGATTATGTCAAGGTATATCCTGGTGATGCATCCTAACTAAAAAGAATAACGAACGACAAAAAACTCCTAATTGTTACCTTTTCAGATAGTATTTATGCTAATCCCAAACAACAAAACAACAACAATAATAATGGGCTATGAGTTGCTTTCTGAGACAAAAATGTTAAAGGAACTAATATATTCATTTTGTTCTTTTTTTTTTTTTGGAGTAGAGTTCCAAATAAGTATGCTTCCACATTAAAAATAAAGTAATTTTTTTTGTGGTGTAGAATCTAAAAGAATTAGTGAATAAGAGAAACAAAAAGACTGAACTGAGAAAAAATTATTTCAACTCATTGTAAAGAAAAGAAGTGTTCAAAAGAGATCCAGGGGAGGTAGTAAATTCTTCACCTGTAAGTCTTTTTGGTGAACTAAAAATTGAGGAAAAAATATCTTGCAAGGCCACAATGAGATAGATTTCCTTCAGTTCAGCCAACACAGTGTATTTCACCATTGCTGCACAATTACTTGGCAGGGACTTTATATGAGGCAGTTAAGCAGAAGTGTATTCAAAGTAAAAAAATCATTAAAATCCTTTCAAACATGGACTTTTATGATTCCCTGTGCCCATATAATAACTCACCTGTTTCATCCGGCTCTGGTTCTCAAGAGCATTGACTTGTCAACATATGTAACATGGTCAGGAAGCTGCCTAACAGCCTCATAGGATACTCCTGCTGATCATCTTGATGTCAGTCTTAACAGGACTGACTGATGAAGGAATACTGTCTTCTTACCCAGGAAGACAGAAATCCTGAGTAGGGGGAGTAGTGATACCTGTGACTAATTTCATTGCTTCATTACTTTATACCACTGACCTTTGAGAATGACTTTCAAATCGGCTAGGGAGGATGTGGTCATTTTTCCAAGGAAACGATGATGTGGAGTCGTACAAATTCACAGATATCACACAAACTCAGGCAGTGACTTATAAAAGATGATAAAAAAGCAATAGAAAAGAAGCATGCTATTTCATTGTTCATGAAACCAAATGTGGCAGTTTTGTTGAGAACTTATTTCAAGTTTAACTACCCCTTCACACTAAATTGCATGTGCTGCATATTTAACTTGGGTTAAAAAGGAAACACAGAGAAGAAAGTTCTTTTGGTTTAAGGAGCATAGGATGGAAAGAAGTAGGCAAGTTTACTTAAACCCATAGACATTTTATTTAAAAGTGAAGGATTTCTGAGTAAAATAAGTTAACACTTCTAAAAATTGAATCATAAATTTAAATGGTAATTTTAAAACACTTTATAGCACTTACTATATGCCAAGCACCATTTTAACTGCTACAACATAGTGAATCCCTTAATCACTGCCACAGTTCTGTGACATAGATACTACTCTCCTTTTCTCAATGGTTACTGAAGTTCTCAGGTACACTGTTCTTTGGGGAAAAGAAACAGGAAATTGAGGAACTTCTCTAAAGAACTTGTGGTAAAGGGAGATCCATCTGTTGGGCAGAATTTGGAATGGTATAAATGTATTTATATGTATTTTTGATACTTTGTGTGGATTGAGAAAGACCCAAAAAGGGCATCAAAAAAGGTAGCAAATAGAAGAATCAGGATTTGAAAGCAGGAGGAGTCATCTGGAATGCAAAAAGTTGTCTTTAACGTACATCCCCATATCTAATAAGACAGCTGTTTCCTAGCTTGTACTGCCTCTGCCATATTTAATCCTGTCTCAACACTTGCTCTTTTATTTTCATGATTCCTTAGAATGCTCTTTTCCTCCCTTTAACTTATTCTCCTAAATTCAGTGCCCAGCTCAGTTCTAACTCCTTCACAAAGCTTTTTTCAACAACTATAGGTAAGAATAGATTTACCTTATCTTTCACTCTTAACCATCAGTGTTGACATCTCATGACTCATTACTTAGAGAAATCATTGAGTGCTGGGGATGTTGCTAAGTGATAAAGTGCTTGCTTGCCTAGCATGCACAGGGCTCTAGGTTCAATCCCCTGCACCACAAGAAATCTTTGAAATATGTATTATTATTCATATTTTCAACTAAGTATAGGACATTCAGAGAAACTAAGTTGTCTTCTCAAGGTTACAAGCTGGTCTAGCACAGAAGGATTCAAGAATAAGACTTCTAAACCGAAATAAGGTGTGCTGTAATCATCTAATCTATTTTGTCTTCAGCTAGACTAGAAACTCCAAGGAAGAAAACGTCATGCTTTATACTGCTGTGTCTCCACAAGGTTTTTACGCTAATGTTTGGCAAAATAAATAAATAATATGAAAACAAGTATTTATGGAGTGTTTACTCCTTGTCAAAATTAACTTTTCATTTCAAGTAATTCTTTTCACAACACTGAGCTGGGAAGTATTGTCACCCCTGTTTACAAACAAAGAAACTTCCTTTAGGAGTTAATCAACAAATAAATGCATACTATATGCTTCTTTTGAATCATTGAGTCATTTTGGTAAGGCATATTTACATCTTCATATACAGTTCAATATTTCATATTTTTATTAATGAGATTCATGACTATTTCATAATACTACAAAGGATCCCTATAAACAAATGTATGATTTGTGTCCTCTATGAACAGAGCACCTCTTGAAACAATGGATTTCCTAGAAGATGCCTTTAAGCTCCAAAGGTGGACCTAGAAGAAACATGTGAAACGTGTGCACACTCAACTTACTAGAGTATACACGTGTGTAGTTGGCATTTGCAGCTGTGCTGATGAATAAGCTGGTATTTTTCCTCCTTCTGAGTATTTTTAGAGATATTTATAGAAATAGATGAATACATACATACACCAACACCAGCGCAGTAAAAATGGAATATATAAATAAATAAGATAGAACTTACAAATAATTTCCATAAACAGGTGGGTTGGACTCCTGCCTTAGGTCAGATTTTATAATAGAACACCACAGACTGGATAGCTTAGACAACAGAAGTTTATTTCTCACAGTTCTAGAAGATGGGAAGCCCAAGACCAAGGTACTGACAAAGCTGGTGTCTGGGAAGGTCACTCTTCTTCATTTGTAGACAGCCATCTTCTCATTGTATAGACCATAACTATTCATGTTAGCAGAAGTATTGGGGGCATGAAGTGCAAATGTGTATCCAGAATACAATATGGCAGTTGCAGTGAGGGCAAATTACTTTTTCTTCTCTGTTGGAAGACTTCCAGTGATTTGACTGGCTGGTCCCAATTGGGAAAGGTACCATTTGGGGGCTTTGTATGGATCTCTGTTGTTAAACAGATCAAGCATTCTGGTGGTGGTAGCCAGATCTGCCTTGGTAAGAAATAATACATACTATCAACCAAAAATAGAGCTTCCATTCCTGCCACCTGACCATTCTGTGCTTCTCTTGTCATTCAAAGAACAAACAGGTAATTGTATCTGCTGGCCTGTTTCTGATAATGGAGAGAAATTGGATTAGTACTACTTGCACAAACTGCGGAATATGTAAGAGAACCCAGAAATGTAATGGCAAAATTTAATGGAAAATTTTAGCACTCCCTACCTCAAAGATCTAGGACTGCTGAGGATTCAGGTCTTTTAGGGACAAAGATTTAGGTTACCCATACACTGCCAGTGACAAAGGGTATATGGGATTTTTAGCAAAGGAAAGAAGTTACAAAAGTCAGCTTCAGCTTTGTGATCAACTACAATATGAGAACCCCAACAAGTAGGCATATTTTACATATTTAGGTATGAGAAATATGAATGTGGATGTTTATGTGTGTATGTTTATTATTAGTTTTCTCTTCCCTTCATTGCCTTTATTATTTCATTTAGGTCTTGGTGGTTGGCATTTTAGTTCAAAATCTAGTTTTTAGATTTAAGAGTATTTCAGTGGGGTTGGGACTGTTAATAGAGAAGTAGTTGACATCACTAGAGTGGTGTAAACTAATGTCAGTAGAGATGGATATTGACAGTTCGGATTTTTTACCATTTTTTTGGTGGGTGGGAAAATGTGAGAGTGAATTAATTTATATGAATATATTCACAATTTGCCATATAGAAACAAGTAGTTGGTCCTGTCTGGAAGTTCCAGGGTTATGTACATGACTGTCTTACATTCAGTCTTACATACTCTTCTTGGAGATGCTAAGTCTGAGCCCCGGAAACCATGTTTTCTTTCATCAGCTGATTTTCTGCTAGTGTCATCTAATTGGGGCACTGAAAGGAGATAGAAAGGCAGGAAGAAGAATGTTATTCCTGTCAGCATTGTTCTAGCAGATGATGTTTCACTCAGTCAACAGCAGTTGGTTTACATCTCAAGCTTCTTTAGTCTTCTCCAAAGACATCCTTAAGTAAGAATCAGGAGGACATAGACTGCATCTCCTCCTCAGAGGCTTCAGCCCCAGTTCCACTGTGCCCAACCCACAAGTGCCTGAAGTACTGTCATTAACCAAATATCTTGCCCTTCACGGATCTAAGTTTGATCTCCTTGTTCCTTCTCTGAGCTCCTAAGGTATTCATATTAGCCAGATGTATTATTCAAGTTTCTCCAGAGAAACTGAATCAATAGGATATGTATGTACACAGTGCTAGGGACCAAATTCAGTGCCTTTTGTATGCTAGGCAGGGGCTCAACCACTAAGCCACACCCTCAGCCCAGAAAGATATATATATATATATATAAAGGAACTGGTCTATGAGATTATGGCAAGTCCAAATTCTGATGTGATAGACTAGTGTGCTACAGACCAAGGGAAGAGTTACAGTTTGAGTCCAGAGGCAGGTTTGTTAGCAGAATTTCTTCTCAAGAAATGCCAGTCTTTGTTCTATTAAGGCCTAAAACCGATTGGACAAGCCCACCTACATGATGGGGGAGAATCTGCTTTACTAACCAGTTGTCTTAGTGCATTTGGGCAGCTGTTAGAAAATGCCTTAGACTTTGTACCTTAGCAGCAACAGAAGCTTATTTCTTATAGTTCTAAAGGCTGAAAACTCCAAGATCCAGGTACCAACAGATTCAGTGTTTGGTGAAAACCTATTTCTCATTGATGGCCTTCTTCTTACTGAGTCTCAAATCTGCTGAGATCTTCCTTTGAGCTTCTGAGGTATCATTAACAGTAAATTGGTACCTTTTCCCAAAAGCTTTTGAATTCCAGGGCTCTGATGCTCTCCTCCAAACTTCTGAGGTTTGAAAACCTCAATATCTTTCCTTTTATTGCCCCATCAGGATATGATCATTGATTTCTGAAGTTTTTTCTAACTTTTGTTTCCTTTTTGCTTTTTCAGTTCTGCAAACCTGTTTAACAAAACTCCTATGTCCAATTCTCAATAATTCTCTATTGACCTATTAAACCATGGCTGATGCATCATAATCCTGGTTTGCTGAGGACAATTTTGATTTATGTCTACCTTTCCAACATGATTTTAACAGTGCCCTCTTACACTCTCAGAAGTGTCCTAGCTAGACAATAAATTACACAATAGCACTGAGAATAAAGGACAGTGTAACTAGAAATCAAGACACTTGAAATCTGGTCATGAAAGAAGTAAGGCATGTGACCTTGAGCAAATCACTTAACCTGAGAAGTAGATGACAATTTCTGCCATCATTACAGCCCTTGAACTCTTTGATCTTATCACCTATGGTGCTATTGTACATTACTCATATATACTTAAATGTGTTACCACTGAGATATTGACATAAATTAGAAGATGCCAGAGGTGACATGGCTTTTAGCAGTGTTCTGAAGTAGAGAAAAAAAAACATGATTGGCAAAGATGAACTGAGGAACTTTTCCGGGAAAAAAAAAAAGGATTATTAAGTCAGTCTGAGCACTATAACACCAAAATTATTGCAGCAGAAAAGAATAACTATACATGACGATTTCAATAGATAAAATTAGTAATTAGCATTCATTGAGGTTTTTGTGTGTTTGTTTTTGCTGTACAGGTACTACTTTCAGTTCTTTCCAATAATTCTTCAGACAGGTAATAGTATTTCCATTTTATAGCATGAAAGACTGAGGGTATTTAAATAACTTGCTTGAATATAGACATCAAAAAAATGGTGAAAGTGAGAATTGCGTCTAAAGTAGTCTAATTTTATAACTTCTCTACTAGAGTTTTAAGACCAACATAGCTAGACATAGAAGAAATAAAATTATGTTTCATTAGAGAAAGTCTGATTAAAATATTTGCGTTTTTCTTCTTTATAATTATAAGAAACACCTCCTTGTTACAGATCAAAATTTCTTAGGTATCTTGGTCCTTGTATGCTTAAAATAAATCATCAGGTATTTGGATTTCTGGACTCAAACCTCAGATAATTTGACTCAGTAGGCCTGGAATGGGGCTCAGAAATCTGCATTTTAATATTAACCTGCAGATTAATGCATAAAGTAATATAATAAATTCCTATATTCAGCTTTTATATTATTGATCTACAAATTAAATCATGACCCCAATGATTGTTTTTAATGCTAAATTTTATAAACAACTATTTTATAATTTTTGGAATATTAGGAAAGCAGTGAAGTACTGTTATAGTGTATTAGTTTGCTAGGGCTGCATAATAAATACCCAAAACTGGATGGCTTAAGAACAGAATGTACTTCCTCGCAATTCAGGAGGCTAAAAGTCCAGGATCAAGGTGTCCACAGGTTTGGTTTCTTCTCACTTCTCTCTCCTCAGGTTGCAGATGGCTGTTTTCTGTTTATGCCCCCCCCCCCCCAATGTCTGTTTCCTGTGTACCAGTTTCTTCATCTTGCAAAGGCATTAGTCACATTGAGTTAGGAGCCACCCTAAGGACCCTGTTTTAACTTGATTATGTCTTTGTTTTAGTTAGCTGGAGTGCTGCTGTGACCAACATACCCAATAAGAACAACAGGGAGGAAAAGTTAATTGCAGCTCAGAGTTTCACAGGTCTCAGTTCACAGAGAGCTGACTCCATTGCTCTGGGCCCAGGGTGAGGCAACATATCATGGAGGCAGGGCCCAGCAGAGGAAAGCTGCTCAGCTTATGGTAGGGTCAGGAAGCAGAAGAGGGGAAGGTGTCCCAGGGAAGATGTCATCCTCCAGGGCATGTCTCCAGTGACCCCCCTCCTCCAGCTATGCCCTCCTTGCCTACAGTTACCACCTACTCAGTCCATTCAAACTAGGATAAGCTGATGAGGTTATAGCTTTCATAATCTAATCATGTCACCTCTGAATATTCCTGTATTAACACAGAAGCTTTTGAGGGACCCTGCATATCCAAATCATTACTTTATTTAAAGGCAGAGTCTCCCCATAAGGTTGCATTATGAGGTATTAGAGTCAATAATTGAACGTATGAATTTTTGGAAATACCACTCAGCCCATAACACAATGACCATACTTCTCCGTGTGTTTGACATAATCCTAGTTTACAACTGATACTGCTGGAACAATTTTATTAGAGCCTATTTTTAATAGTAATACTGTTTCAGTTTGGATAATATATGGTTCCCTTATTTAAAGGTCACAAAAGGGTATCTTGAAGACAATTAGTATACTACAGGAAATACTAGAACAATGAACTTTCAGAAGCTATATTAAGACAATAATATATTTTAATTGTACTATAGTTAAAAGTGAAAAACCCCAGTGAAAGGAAATTTAAAAATTAAAGTGCTTAGAGTATTTTTACCACTTTCCACATGTGCAATTTTTCTTGATTTTGTTACTTTGCAAATTGCTTTCTTATATTCAGTCTTTATAATATTGATCCATAAATTAAATCAAATTTAATGTTTTTATTCAAAGACTGCTACAAACATCATTGAAATTTCATTTCTAACCTGAATTTTCAACTAAAAAATATAAAAACTCACCTTTCTGAAGTTGTGATCAAGCAGTTTAGATTCCCTTTATATCCATGAAGTTCTTTCTGTCCTGGTTTCCTCAAAGAATAAAATATAAATCATAATCCCAGCTACTAGAGAATTATGAAAATTACAAAGCCCACAGAAATGCTGTAAGATCCCTCTGCCAACACAGCTAGCTCTTCTTTCCCATCAATTCTCTGATTGACTTTCCTCTAACTTGTCATAATGCTTTATCTTATATTTCTGTGTTGTCTTAGCCACTGAGAGGTTAGCATCTGAGGCAAAGGCACCCTATTGGTATATTTATTTCTTTTATACGTTGGGCTCAGTAGAAAGATTGGAATACAGATAATACATAGTAAAAATTCATAAAAGGAAATGGCAAATAAAAAAATGAACAATGTGATAAAGGAACTTTAGTTCCTAGAAGATTCCTCAAGGGCTTGAACATCTAATTGATATTTTCATCAAATGAGTCAACTATGCATATCCCATTCAAACATCAAAATCGTAATTCAAAATTGAGCAATCATAAAAAGAGAAAGGTGAACTTACACAACATACAGGAAAAGCAAAAGCCCATCCTTTGTTTCTTATTTATCACACTTCATTTGGAAGACAGAAAACATTTTTAATACTTATATTATTATACAAAAGCCTTTGCTCATGAGTCTCTATGTGCATGAGTGCACATGTTCAAATTCAAACAAGGTGCTACTCTAAAAAAATAGGCTTGATTTCACCTTTCATCTTAGAATCCTTATAAAATGGATACACATTAACCCCAGGATGTATTTTAAATTTTATCAAGAGTCCAAGGTGTTATTCAATATTTTTTCTTCAAGGCAATTCTTATGGTATTATTTTTAACTTTGTATATAGTTCACTCTAAAATTACTCTGCAAGCTAACCAGCCAATCTTTCTCATTTTAGTACTGAAATGGTTATTTCTTGAACTTGCTAACATCATTTAACATGAAGTTTCAGAATCATGAAGTTACACATAAAAATTTCCTATTCACTTTGAAAATATAAAACAAATACCTCTATGTCTTAAAATTTGCATAAATTTATAGATATAAATAAAGCAGTCTCTCTTCACTCTTTTTTTCTCACATGCATGAATTTGTGGGCTGCCTGAAATATTGCAAACTCACCCACTAAATTTTAGTTACACTGACTGTAACTGTTTTTGCCATTTCCTTACAAGGGTGGCCCCAGAGGTTTATTCAAAATTGAAATTCTTCCCAGCCTCAAGTCCTGAATTATGAATCTGGTTAGACCTGTTTTATTTGGCATTACCTGAGACATGGAATCTAACTGGAAATTGGGACTGATGTAGTCTAGGGAGAGAACACTAACTACATCAAGTTGCACTGTCCCATTTACATAGTAAATGTGTGAATCTTCATTACATAAAAGATAGGATGCACAAACATGGGTTTCTCTTGGAAAAAGAAATTGCAAAAACATTTGAAACCTCTTTTTTGATCCATAATTATCTAAATTTGGGGGTGATTGGCATTGCAGTATTTTGATAGCTTAAAATTAGCATTGGTTATGTCCAAAATGGACTTTCAAAAATTCATTATTTTTAGTAGTATTTAGCTGTTTCCTACACATCCTACTTTAGAATTTTGTCCATTTCAATTTTACTAGAGCTTTCTGAATAGTAATAAAATTAGACATCTCCCTTAGGAGACATTTTCATGGAAAATTATTTTGAAGAAAATTCTGAACATATCTTCCTTGACTTATTTTTTTGAAGTACCTTACATGTGTTGAATAGAAGAAGTAATGTAGCAATGGCTTATTGGGAAGAATTATTTTCATTGCTTGATAATTTCTCTAGCAAAGTTAAGATAGAGGTGCTAATTGCAGAGCATTTCTACTTAGGAGTACACAGAACATTGTTATCAAAATATTGGGGATGTTGGAAGAAAGGGCCTTTCTCTAAGTGAGGTCAACTGTGAACCCCCAACAAACACTATGTATCTGGCTTCTACTCTGAATGGCTTCATGTATGAACAAGATCTTGTATACTTTTTCTTATTATTCCTTAGCTTCGCTCTTTCAAGTGGAATTTGCCTAGCAGAATAAATATAAAACAAATTGTTAGGTAAATAAAAATAAATTTCAAAAGCACCAGTCTTTGGTGAACTTTGATCCCTGCCTGTGACAAGGTCTTTATCAGTATTTGCATTCCTGCCCGGGGTGACCAAGTCAAAATCATTAGAAATAAAGAACCCAGAGGACCCAAATTTGACATTGGGACCTTGGGAAACTATCCTCTTTTGGAATTTGTAGAGTTTTGTTCAAGAGGATAAGCTATTGTCATAGTATTTAATGCCTGTACCCAGAGGGCTGAGTCAAAATTAAATTGGTTCATGAGGTGAAAATAAACAATATTTACTTATGGAAAATACATGTTGTTTTAGTCAGCTTTTTTTACTATTGTGACTAAAGGATCTGACCAGAACAACTGTAAGGAGGAAAAGTTTATTTGAAGGCTCATGGTTTCAGAGGTCTTAATCTAAAGAAGGCCAGCTCTGTTCCTCGGGGCTCAGGGTGAGGTTGAACATCCTGGCAGGAGAGTGTGGCAGAGGGAAGCAGCTCACATCAGGCAGCAGAGAGAGATTCCAACTGCAGATACAAAATATATACCCCATAGCCATGTCCCCAATTAACCCCTTCCTCCAGCCACACCCCACCTGCCTCTAGTCACCACTCAGTTTATCCCATCAAGGATTAATTCACTGATTGGATTAAGACTCTCACAATCTAATCTTTTCTCCTCTGAAACTTCCTGCATTGTCTCACATGTGAACTTTTGGGGAACACCTCATATCTAAACCATAACATATGTATTTAGTTTCCTTAAAAAAGTTTCCATAGAAAACTTTATTTCTTCCCATAAATAAAATTTCTCTAAGTATGTGTCATTTTGCAGGTTGATTTTTTTCCCACAAATTTATTGCAATTTTTAATTAAGTATAAACCTTTAACAAGAAACAGAAAGCAGCACAAAGTTTTTGGTATGATATCTAGTGATGGTACCTACTGATTGTGTACCTTTGATCAAGTTTTTTATCCTCGATATCCTCAGTTTCCTCATCTTTCATACTTACATCCACCTCATAGTATTATTGAAATATTTGTATTACTCAACTTTTTGTCACTGTGCCACAATATCTGAGATAATGCGCTTATAAGAAGAAAGGTGTGTTTTTCTCACAGTTTGGAGGTTTCAGTCCAGAGTCAGCTGGTGCTTTTGGGTTCATAGTGAAGCAGCACATCATGGCAGTAATGCATGTTGGAAGAAGTTGCTCAGCTCATGGAAGCCAGGAAGTGAAAAAGCAAAAGGATCCAGGGTCCCAATATCCCTTTCAAAGTCTCACCCTCAGAGATCTAACTTCCTCCTACTAGTCTCCTCCTCTTTATGGTTCTACCTCAACCCTGTAGTGCCACAGGCTGGCAACCACGTCTTTCCACTGACCTCTGGTGGATGCTTATCCAAAGCATAATAGCAATCAAATGAATTTATATCTGCAATTTCATAAAAGGAATTTCTGACACTGTACACAAAATAAAATTTGAGAAGAAAATAAGTAAGTAAAAGGGAAGATCACCAAAAACTCCACCACTGATATGGCCTTTATCTTTTGTTACCTTGGTCTTTTCTGTCATCACGGTTCTTTCTATGGACACATACCTGCAAGCCTGAGTGTACTATGCTGCACTTTCTGAGATATTTTGTCCACATTTTATATGCACATCTGCTTCTTTTCCTTAGCTCATTCTTTCTCTTTACTTGTAATGCTTGATCTCCTCATATTCACATGTCCAAAGTCCAACCAGCCTTGAAAGCTTAGCTCAAATGCATTGGCTCCTTTGATTACTCTCTAAAACAGGATGTTAATTTCGTCCTCCTCCGAAATTGTAAAGCATGATGTTCCTTTACAGTATTTAAGTGCTTTCCATCTTGTGTTACAGCTTCTTAAATATGGTACTTCATCTCCTGAACTATCAGTCTGTGGAGATGTGCAAATCTTCCCAGGCTCCATGCATCAAACACAATTTATATGCATAGTAGATCAACAGATACTTGTTAAATAGATTAACGAATGCTCAGTTTAAGTGCATTTTAACAAAATATATTGCTTCTAAAAATCAGATTTTCTAAGAATATTTATAGACATGACAAAATATTCATGATATAACACTAAGTGATATAAAACGCTATAAAGAATATGACCCAATTTTCTAAAATAATATAGTGGTCCATCTATTTATAACTCATCTGTCTGTATCTATCTATTTATCTATCTGTTATGATCTGTTTATTGCAAAAAGGCTGAAAGAAACATTTGAGATATGACAGTATTTATGTTTGCATTATAGGATGCAAGTGATTTAAATTCTTTTACTTTTTTTTGAGTCTGTATAATTCTAGTGCAACACCTTTATAATTATAAAAGTTTAATATTATAACAAATATTTATATTAAAATAAAAATTACTTTATCCCAGGAATATAAGAAATGTACTGCCATCATTGAACCTTTAAATAGATTTAATAGATTTACTTTCTGACATTCAACATAGTGATTTTACACTCATTGGATCCACAGAGAATACAAGATGTGTCTTTCTCCCTTGCTTATTCTAAATACAATAACTAGTTTGCAATAAAAATGGAAATGCTTAGCTTAGATAAATAACAGGTAATTTTAATAAGAAATCTTATATGAACTCCTGAATATTTTATTTTTCATACAGGATTGTATAGAAAGCAAAGTCAATTTTTAATGTGCTCTAAACATACAGAAAACCAAAAGCATACAGAAAAAAATTAAGAAGTACCTAGAGGAAGAAGAAAAAGGAAGTGACAGATTATGTATCTAGAATGATCTTTAAATGATTCATTATGAAAATGGATTTCATAGCAGTGCACATAGAGAGGAATAAGGAATAGATATTTTGATGACTAAAAGGCAAAGTATTTGTTTCAGGAAAACAACTAGAAGTGAGTTCAAGTGATTTGCCAAAATGTCTTTCCAAGGATTACGTTATCGTGTGGTTAACTAATTCTGGATCACCATTAGTGTGTTATTCAAGTATATGTTTTAATATCTTTTCTCTTTAGACCTTTTTTCAAACCCTGTGAGGGGGACACCAGACTGACATCTGTTTAACTTAAATAATTCCTTGTTTCTTTTATGAAGTTTCTTCTACGTATATGATTTTTCTAAGATAAAAGTTTCATGCAATTCATTTGGTAGAGTTAAATTTTACTTTATTGCTGATGATTTTTTCTCTAGAGTAGCCCTAAAAATGTTTGTTGAAGGAAAATGCATTTGATTTGTCATGTATCTATTGAAGGAAACAACCCAATGGTTGTTTTGCTCAATGACTAGTATTTACAAATGGGTGTCATTTGGCCTTTAAGAAAGAATTAATTCCTTCTTGGATCTTGGTTTATTTAGCTGAACTATTTATCTAATATAGTTAGAGAAATACATTAGAGAGACACATTTGAAATTCAAATGATGCAAGACCAAACATGATTAATTCAACACCTAAGTCATCAAATTGTTCATGGAATTGCAAATTATAATAGCAGTATGCGAACAGCAGATGGATGAATTAAATGTGCTCTACGGTCTTTCTGTGTGCTATGAGGAGCCTGAATGCCAGAGGTTTTGGTAAAGCACAACAGCTCTGGGTGACTCACTATAAAATAGGCAAAACAAGCTTATTTTCTGTTTAGTACATAAAATTTATGTGAAATGAAAAACTCAGCATTTCTTTTTGTATGGCATAAAGGTATAAAATACCTTTACAAAATTTCAAGATTCCTAAGAATTTTCCCCAACTTTAAAGTGTACTAATTTAGAAGAATAATGCAACAGATTTCCCTCCAAAAATTAACCATGGAATTCCCAAGCATTAAACCATTTGATAAATTATCAATCAATATTTTTCTTTATCATCTACCACTTTTTATGTCTTTTCATCCAACACAGCAGCGATAGTCTGAGAAAAAATTATATACAACCACTGAAAGTACCTGAAATTTGTTGAAATCTTGTCTTACCTCATAAAAAGCTATTGTAATTCTTGCTTAGCTCGGTTACAGTTCTGAGCATTGTGAAAGGGTTCTAGTAATAGTCAAATAATTTATGACCACCAGTGTCATTTATAACCACTACAATGATTTTCCTTTTTCTTTTAATTCACCACAGATTGCTTTTAGAGTGAGGGCAAAAAATAGAGCATGAATATAAGCTTCTAGATATACCTACTTCCTTCTGAGCAAAAGACTTAAATCTGCCTAACAAAGACTCTAAAAAATCTAAGTATGACACCCTGAGAGGATCTTCAATTTTATCCTAAGCAAGATTAACCCCAAGTAACCACAAATGAATGAGTTTCCAAACATGAACAGAGTTAGATTTCATGACAATTCATAGAATCATGTATTATTCAGTAATATTTCCTTCAAGCTTTTTTTTTAAAAAAAAAAAAACATAACTTCTTCTCATGTAATTTTCTTACTTGGTGTTTTAAACTCATCTAGCCTTAATTTGCTCTCTGTAGAAACAAAGACCTTCAGAATCTGTGTCTTTAGAAAAGAGTACCCCGATATAATTTAATTTGAACTTGCTAAATCAAATCTTTCAAATTATATTTTCAAATTTTACATCATTGAAGCTTTACAAGGTGTAATTTTGATAGAGTCCTTTTTACTTTTTTATGAGTTTTGGTTTGTATGGGGTTCTTATATTGTTCAGATTACACTGTTTAGCAGTTCTGTTAAGTCTTGAAAACATAGACATATGGTTATCCTAAAGACCTTTTTAACATGAAGATTCAATAACAGATTTTACTTAACAAATTTTGAAGTTTTAATTAAAATGTGGAATTATAACAAACAATTCTTTTCAGCTTCTGGCCTTCGTAACCCTGTCAGTGCCTCCTGTGAGTACCAGAACCCCAGGCAGTGTTGAGGGTCACAGGGCATAGAGAGAGCATAGTGCACAGGAGCTCTCCCAGGACCGACCACAAAGAGAGTCCCAGCAGCAGTGTAGAAACACAGGACTGGACGGCTGGCTCCAGAGTACTGTTAGGACTATAGGACACCACCCCATATTTCAGGAATCTGCAACGTCTACAGTATCCAAAGTAAAGGTAGAATTCAGAAGACTTAGAGAGACATCAGGCATTGTTGGAGGTAAAACCAAAGGGTAAAACCAAAAGGGAAAAGGACCAAAGAACCAGTGTCAAGGATGGCAATACTTATCCCAGCAATTCTGACCAAACAGGAGAATTCTGACTTAATTTTCAGAAGAAGGGTAACAAATTTATGGTATCTTGGAACTCAAACATGAATAGTATTAAATCCATATGTATGGCAGAGAAAGAAAATAGATCATGACCTCAGAGCATTTTTAACTGTACTATCTACCATTTCCTAAGTAATCAGATAGCTACCAAGTACTTCTATCTTTTGAATGTCGTCCTACATGGGTTTTATTTTTTTATGTGTGGTGATCTCATTTTGATTTAATTATTCTGATAATCTAACCTATGAAATATTATTTATTATACTCATTTTAATGAAAAAATGCAATCAAGAAATTTTAATTATTTATCAAGATGAGATGCTAGTTGTGGGGGGACTAGTTCAAATTGGGTTGTATTCCTTTTACTTGTGAATAAGATGGATTTTTTCCTGGAGATTGCTGGGTCTTATGCTGTTCACTTACTTGTCAATGTCATTGAAATGGAAGTCCTTTGAGACATAGTGCTAAAATCTGGTAGCTAATACCAAGAGACAGGTAATATATCCATGAATATTTTGGTTTATTAAAACATTTTGGTAAGTTCTTTTAAAAACTAATGCCTTGAGATAACAGTCATGTCCCTTTTATTTACAATTCGTTAATGTGAGCTACATAATTGAGTGTAATGATATAAAAATAGAAGTTAAAGTATGTTTTAAAATATAAAATTAAGTTTTCCTATATATTTCTACTTATAAATAATATATTCACTACATAAAATATGGCAGAGATACAGTAAAATATAAAAAAAATACATGTGAACTTTATAATGTAAGGCATTGCGATTTTATATACTTCTCAATTATATAAGTAAAATATTAATCCTTTTAGTTAATTTATAATTTTCTATATAATATTTCAAATGTTTCATATTTCATTTCCTTTTTTGCAAATTACTTATTTATATTCACTTTCTATTGTGTTACTAATCTTCTCCTTGATGAAAATAGTTACTTTCACCCTCTTTAAGGACATTTCTTTTCTCTCAGCAATGCTACCCAGGTCTAACATCTTTTTTCCAGTATATTTTAAGCAAACAAAAATGTTTTAACATTTGCTCTTCAAATGAAATCCAACTCA